ACTCCCGGGCTCCTCCGACTCCGCGCCGCCAGGGAGGCCCCCCAGTCCACCCTTCCCGCTCCTGTCGGCACCGCCGCGGCTCCCTGCGTCCCGCCCGCGGCGGCTGCCTCTGCTGTCACCGAGCCCCTCGCCCGGCGCCCGGGCTCCGGCTGTCACTCCGCGCCCACTTCCCGCCGCGCCCGGCAGAGGGCAGCACCCGCCCCCGTGGCCCGCCCCGCCCCGCCCTCTCCGGCCTGCCGCTGCGCCCCCCGGGAAACGTAGTCCTGGCCGCAGCCCCGCTGGGCACGCCGGGATTTGCAGTCTTGGTCTGCCGGGGCTTGCGGTGTCGTTTGGAACTCCAGTGCCTTTGCAAACTTTTCTCCTTTCAGTCAGTGACGTTCCGACAAAGGGTTCGCTACGTTTCCTCCAGTGGCCTGTCTGAACCCGTCAGGCTGTTTTTCCAGGACTCCTGGGAAAATGTAGGGCCCCTGACGGTGGACCACGGCCATAGAAACTCCTCGGTGGCAAACTCTCTTCCTTCCTGGTTTGGAGCGGGACGCAGGACCTGAATCTTGCCTTTTTATCCCTGCTCCTGAGCCTAAGAGGCAAGGCTGGGGGTCGGCCTGCTGAAGGAGCCCACCCCCGCTGCCCCCCCCCCCCATCTTGGGTTCTCCATTGTGGCATGGGCCACAGCTGGCTGGGGCCCCCCTCCGCCCGCCACCTGTTGCCCCAGGACTTTTCTGATCTGCTCCCTCCGGGTCACCTTCCCCTGCTGGAAGCTCATGGCCCAGAGCCATCTTTCTCTGCTTCCTCCTCCTCCCCTTCCCCCTCCCTCTCTCCTCCCCACACCTTGTGCCCCAGATTTGCTATGCAGCCTCTGAGGAGGAGAGGGATGAAGGCCAGAGGAACAAGAACTCTTGCTGGCTTGGTTAGAGCAAGTGGCCTTGATTTCACTGTAACCCGAGTGGACAGCCTGCTCTCCTTCAAATACCAGTCCTGGGACAGGGACATAGGCATCGGAGTGAAAACCCATGAGCCCGCCCCAGCCCCAGCCCCAGCCCAGCCCCAGCCCGGGAAGCCTTCCTGGGGTGGTTTGTGGCAGCACCCTCCCCATCCTTCAAGGGCCTCGGGGCTGCTGCAAGCGTGCAGAGGTCTCCAGCACGCCTCAGAAGCTTCCAGTCCAAATATGGTCTGCAGATGCCGAGATGGATGCCTAGACCCAGGCTGGGGGAGGCCTCTAGTCACACAGCCGTGGCCATGCACGCGGGTCCCAGGGTGCCCAGGGTCATGCAAGTGACCATTTAGCAAACCGAGCGTTTCAGGTGTGTCCCCAGTTACCAGGGACCTGGCCCCCATGCCGTGACCACTGCTTTCCCGCTCCAGAGGGAAGCTGTGAACAGACTCCAAGCTCTGGGAGAAGCAGCCCTCACCTCCACCACCCACCAAGCTCCAGTTCTCGCAGAAGCTCTGTGACACCTCCTAGCCGCTGGTGCAGACCAGGTCATCTGTGGGCCACAACTCCCCTCCAAAAACGACAGGCTGGCCAACGTGAAGAACTGTTTATTATTAGGGAAAATCCAGAGCCCAGAGGAGGAATGCACAGAGAAAACACAGGGAGACCACTCCCACTCCACAGGGCACGGGGCCGAGGGAAGAAGGAGCTGGGTGTGCTATCCGGGCTGCCAGTCTAGGCAAGAGCGGCAAAGCCCACCCGGTTGTTGGCCATGTCAAAGACGGAGTAGTAGGCCCGGAGGAAGACATCCCCGAGGATCCAAAGGGGCTCGCCGTCCTGGGAGGACAGGTAGGTGGCCTCGACTCCCACCATGCATTGGCCATCAGTCTGCTCAATACAGAGAAGTAGCATTCATTCATTTGCACAGATGTGACCTGGGCACACTGCTCAGCCCTGAGCCTGGGGCCAGGGCTCAGAGGCGGACGTGAGTGGGCCAGGGCTGTGCCCCAGAGGGCTCATGGGCTAACTGGGTCACCAGGGCAGGGGCTGGTGGGAGAGCTTTCTGGGGTGGCACCCGTGGTCCTCTGCTGGGTCTCCTCTGCCCACCATGGGAAGCTTCTCTCACCACCACCACCCCCAGGCTCTCCTCCTGCCCCAGTTTTGAGAGGTCAGCCTGGTGGTCAAGCCTTAGGACCAGATCAACTCGGATCAACCCGTATCTACACCCTGACTAGCCGTGTGGCCTTGAGTCTGCTACTTAGCCTCTCTGAACCTCAAAGTTCTCATTCGTATAACAGAAATGAGGCTCTCCCACGGTGCATGTTGTGTCGGTTGAGTGGGAACACAGGCGAAGTGGCCGGTGCTGGGGCTGGCCCTGGCATTTGCCTGGCAAAAGGCCCAGTGTCCCTCCCCGCAAGGAACAGAAGTAACAGATGCCACACTTCTGTTTCACAGTCTTGTTACAGAGAACGGGGCTTAGAGTCACTGCGTGGGGAACCAATCAGTGCTTTGCGGAGTCAGGCAATGGCCCCCGGGAAGCCCGGAGGTCAAGGTCTTTGGCTCCCCACCCTGGGCTGCCACCCCCTGTCGTGGTGGCTCAGCCCACAGAGCCCAGACTTACGTTGAGGATGTAGGCGGAGGGGGACAGAGGGAACTCCACGCCGTTGATGACGAAGGTGAAGGTGGGCAGGCTCTCTGTGCTGTCACAGTCCACAAGAAACTGCAGGAAAGAGCAGGGGCCCGGTGACCATCTCCCACACAGCCGTGCCACTCAGCCGGCTCCTCCAGCCCCCCGGCTCTCAGGCCTGAGCCCCCAGCCTGCTGTTGGACTGAAGGGCTCATTACACACGTGGAATCCCCCCACCCCACACACATTCCTGTCGCCCACATTTCCCCTCTGAGAGGCCTGGACGCTGCCCTCTCTGTGTCAATGTCCTTTGAAAGCACACAGATCTGTAGACGTGGCGCATCCGTCTCCCACAGTCCCTGGAAATGGGTTCAAGGGCACACCCTTTGCTGGGCTCCAGACAGAGAGGGGCTCCGGGCAGCACGGCCCCGTGGAGACATGGGAGCTATGCATGCCAGGGCTCGCTCTCGTCACTCACTCGCTTACCCCACGCTCCTCTTAACTCTGCGCTGACCCCAGAGCCAGCACCCTGAGTGCCTGCAGCTCAGAAGGAAGTCTTCTCTAACAGCAAGCTCCCCCACCCCCTCAGCACAGGCAGCTGGCTCCACTGAACCTGGCTCCGGTCCCCTTCCTATCTGTCCCCAGCCCCAGTTGTCCCAAGCCCCCACCCACTCCAGTGCTTTGGGGCAATCAGAGACGTGGAGGCTGGGGACAAGGCTTTTCTCGCATTCTCTGCAGAATCGGCGTGCTGCTATGCAGGGCCTTCCCGGGGCGGGGTAGGGGGAGCCGCCCCCAGGCGCACCTCTCCATACTCGTTCTCCTGGGCCCCTGTGGCCTCCAGCAGGTCACTCATGTACTCCTGAGGCACGGTGAGCAGAGAAGTGCCCGTGTCCACGATGGCCTGGCAGCCCTGGGAGCACCAGCCGGAGGCCTCGCTACTGATGAGGAACCTGTGTGGTGAGGAGACGCCCAGCCTCAGCGCCCACTAGTTCAGGGCCGCGGGGGGTGGGCTTCCTACCGTGCTGAGAGACAGACACCTGCAGCCACAGAATCCCGGTGCACTTGCCCCCATGGGCGTCAGTCCCTCTACTCCTCTCTGTCACACCACACCAGAATCTACCAAGGTCACCTGAGGAGTGATGGGACCTATTTCTAAACACTTTCGAGGAAACGTCTAGAAACCCTGAAGTGGTTCATTATAAGGACCTGGAACCAACTGATCTCCCCCAGGGTCTAATCTATAAGCCTTGGGGTCAGACTGCACGGTCTCTAATGTCCGGGGTCCACCCCCAGCCCAGCCCTCTTCTCCAGGCCGAGATGGGCTTTGACCCTCCTGCAGAGGGCAGCTGGTGCTTTGCAGGGCAGGCCTGGCATCCTTTGCTGTGCCCCTGGCAGTGCCTGGATGTGTGTGTGACCTGGGCTGCCCCAAAGCCCTCTCCCCAGAGTGCACGTCACCATCACCGCGGACTTACTCGTCAATGCCAATCTGCCAGTAGAGCTCTCGGGTGACAGGGGCCCAGTAGATGTCCCCTGTGTACAGGCTGCTGTCCACACCCCCGAGCACCAGCGCACCCCCGTCAGTGCCCTGCTGGCTGCAGGAGACAGGGGAGGGGGAGTCAGGGCAGGCCGTGGAAGGGGAGGTCCCTGCCAGGTGGTCACAGCTCCTCCCCTGGTTCCAGAAACGGGCTCCCCGAGGACAGGGCTGTGCCTCCCTCAGCCTGGGGCACCCTGGCTGGGATACCTCAGAATTCCCGGACCCTCGGGCTCCCAACAGATGCTGCCCCACGGAGCCCTGCTCCCCTCTGTTGTTTGCGGTGTGCAGGAGCCTCACCCAGGGATGGGAGAGAGCCACGGCCTTGGGAGGGGAGAGGCAGGGGCCCTCCCGGAGCTGGAGTGTAGCACTGGGGCGAGCCCCTGCAGGGTTCATCCAAGCAGCGGCAAACAGAGGCAGTGGGTAAATCAGTGCCATCAATGACAGAGGACAGTGTCGACCCTCAGACCCAGGGGATTAAGTCACAGAAAATAGCTCTGTCTTTGGAAGGCGGGGAAGAAAAGGCAGGCCCGGGGGCCCCGAGGGGCTGCACTGGCTGTGCTTGCTGGCCAGGATAACCACTTGCCAGGACTCACAGCAGAAGACCACAGGACCAGGCCTGAACAACAGGTCAAAGGGCACGAAACACAGCAGGGATGGAGATAGGAACCATCAGGTCAGAAGGAAGAGGGCTGGCTCGGGCCCTGGGCAGGAGAGGCAAATCCAAGAGGCACTGAGGGTCCAAGCAGAATCAGAAGGGGGAGAGAGTCTTCCCGGCCGAGAAATGCAGAGAAAAGAGCGAGTGGGCTGGGGACAGGGCTGGGAGGGGTGGAGGGGCACGCGGGAGCCCAGGAGGGAAGCCGGGGCCAGAGGCCAGCTGGAGACCCCCAGTCGCCTCAGTTGTCCCAGGCTGCAGGGGCCGTGGCGGGAAGCCACTCACCTGCTGAGGTAGAAGCTGAAGACGCTGCTGCTGATGGTGCCGTCCTGCACCATGCCCTGCAAGGCCGGGGTGGCGTCCCCCACGGACAGAGAGGGGTAGGCCAGGCCCATGATGCCATCAAACTCCGCGTACAGGAAGTTGGTGCCGGGCTCCGTCTCACTCAGACCGAACTCCTGGTTGGGGACCTCGATGTTCTGGATCTGGGGGGCGGGGGATCACAAAGGAGGGGAGGTGACAAGTTTGGCTGCACTCCCAGTGACACCCCCCTCCCCACCCACCATGCTGTGTCCTTCATCCCTCCCTCACCTCGGCTCCTGCCCTTTCATTGGACAGGTCTTGCAAGAGCCACCTTCTCCTCCCCGCCCCCATCTCCCTGTCCTCGGAACACCCCACACTGTAAGCTCCCTGGCCAAAGGACCGTGGCTGTCCCACTCATCGTGGTGACGCCAGAGCCTGGAGCAGGGCAGCCCTCGAGAGGGTCGGAGGAGTGAATGGGTGAGCCCTTTGTTGGACTGACTTCCTGTCCACTTCTCCAGCTGTGTTTCCCGGGCTCCGCCTGTCTCCCCGCCCGGGGGCGGCAGCCGCCCACTCACAGTGAAGGTGTCGTAGCCAAAGAAGCCGGTGAGGCTGCCGCTGCCGTACTCCAGGGAAAAGGTCTGGTCGTAGGTGTAGAAGGTGGAGGACTTGCTGGGGTTGAAGCGGTTGTGGGTAGCTGCAGGGGATGGCCGGGTGGAAGTCAGCTGGCGAGGGCAGGGCTGCCCACCAGGGCCTGTGCTCCCATCCCTGGGGGGCCGGCTGGGGCTGCAGGCGTGGGAAGGCCCCTGGAGGCAGGCTGGCCTTGGCCCCAAAGCCCCCTGTGATGACGGAATCTTGGGCTCCCAGGATTCTGGCCTCGTCGTGGGCCGGGTTGCTGTACCCTGTTCCCCAGCAGAGTGCAAAGCACACAGGCAGTGCCAAGTGATTCCTCATCAAAGGATGGACTGGGGGGCCTCCAGGGCACACCCACATTCTCCCAACCCCACTTCCAGGAAGCTGGTCACACCAGGATCCTGAGCTGGCACAGAGTGGGACTTCTTGGACCAGAAGCATCAGGACCCAAACCCCAAGGTCCCTAAGGGCCCAGGGCAACCTTCGGAAAATGAACATAACCCATCTCCCAGACCGCTGCAGGCCAGGCCACATCCCTTGGACATGATGAGTGTGAGCTTTGGAGATGTGGCATATACTGGGATGGAACCAAGTAGAGACGGCCCGCAGTGAACACGATGGGGTGGGTGGAATGAAATGGAGTGGGGGGGGGGGGGAGGTGGGCTGGCTTAAGTGGATGGACAGTCTCGGTCAGCAGGGTAGGCAAGGGGGCCACCCAGCTGCCGGCCAGCCACTGCACCCCAGCTTGGGTGGACCGGGTCCTTGCACAAGTTCCTCACCCTCCCCAGGAC